AATTGTTGTAACTTCGTAAGAGTGGGTACGATCAATGCAGTTCATTTTCAAAAAAGCTCGTATTTTATTATTTCAGAGATGCTTTTATATTATGCAATAGGAATGAGAGAGCAAGGATACTTTTGTTCTCGAAAATTATGAAAATTCAAATATCACTGAAAATATTTTTGAAAAGATTTTTCCTTTCTCAACAATCTCTTGAAACTTGTTATATTTTTCTTTCTTCGTCATTTTATTGAACGTTAGGGTGTAAATGACCTTAGGGTTAACTTGAAGGGTTAGAATTTCTGTTGTTTAACTCCGATATCCAACAAGATGGCGGAAAATAGTAGCACAGCAAGCTCTGGAGATCAATTTAAAGGCGGAGCTTTAATCTTCAAGATCGTGATAGATCCAGCAACGAAAAACATTTTTCAGCTATTTTCGACGACAAGAAGTATCCTTGCTTTTCCACTTGCTACACCATCTTTTTGCATCGCGAAGGGAAAAGAACTCAAGACTGTTTCACGCTTTAAAATGAGGTCAACTGGATTGTTGTCGTACGATCTTTGTTCCACGAAGTTTAAAATACCGACGATTTGCCATCGAGCTGTGTCCACTTCTGCACTGTACGCGAAAGAGTATCGATATTTTAGAATTTCTTTAAAAAAAAAAAAAAAAAGAAATAAATAAACTCGACCATTCAGTGCGTTGAACGTTGGCCGCGCGCGCTCGAGTGTCATCGAATCGAATTCACCGGTCGCAAGTTTTTGACTTTTAATCAAACAAATGGTAGATTTACCACCAGTGTATTCAATCGTTGACCCGCGGGCTCTCCCTCTTTCTCTTTTTCCCCCGCCACAGAACAGGATACGTGTGAATGGTCGTCAAAAGCGAATTAGGCGGGAGCCAATCGGGCAACGTCCAAACGGTGTATTTTTGTTTTATTCATATTCGGTCGGGGTGTGTGCCAACAAGAAAAAAAACGTGTTTCGGCTATTCCGGTTGGGGAACGCGTGCAAATACCGAAGGTTGAAGAGGATCGGTCAACCGTAAACCTGTCAAAAATGGTGGCGACTTAAACTATTTACCGCGAGTCGTAAAGGGGAAAACACATATCCCGCGACGCAATTCCTCGAGCGAAATAAAAGTCGGGGATGCTCGAGAGCTCGGTGAAGTACGAGCGAATACGTTTTTGTTCTTAACGTGAGATACTCGTCGTCGGCTAGCTAAAAGTCTCGAAGTTTTATAATCTACCAGATGGCCAGGTTCGTCGGCTTCAATTTCGAGATTTTTACTGACAGTTGAAATTACATTTAGCTCGAGATGTATTTTTACTCACGGCCGAAGATATATTTACGTTAGATGTATATTTTAAATATATTTGATATGATTTGCATTAAAAATGTATCTATGTGAAATGGAGATGGATAATTCATGAGTGTGTTGTGTGCGCGAAAGTTTGATAAAAATTTGTTACAAATTCAGTGATGATAAAAATGATAAAAATTTTTCTACACTTCTCTCTGCGCTACAGTGACTCGATGCTACATCAAAGAGCTAAATTCTCGATGTTTTATGATTTACGGTGACCAAGTTCGTTGGTTCCAATTTCGAGGTTTTTACCGTCAGTTGAAATTATATTCAGCTTGAAATGTATTTTTTAATGACGACTGAAGATATATTTACACTAGAAACGTTACATTTTAAATATATTTGTATTGAAAATGTATTTATATCAGACGAAGAGTTGGATAATTTATAAATTCTGCATACGCGAAAGTTAAGGCGAAAACACAATGCGGTGTTACATGATGGTAAAAGCATTTTTACCAAAAAATGGTAAAAATTTTTCTATACTTCCCTCTATGTTTTTATGAATGCTACCCTGACTCGATGCTAAATTCTAATTTATCGTAACACATTCCGCTATATGCGATTCGTACAAACGAGCATAACGAGATAATTCGTCCCCCACGTCGTCGTTGCCGAGAAAATATTTCTGGCGTAACACGACGATCTTGTCAGGAAAAATCCAAGAATTTCCAACGAGCCAACTGAAACCCGGTCTCCAAGTACAAGTTGAAAAGCGATCTCGACGATGGTGGCTACGGCGATTATACCGGTTAACGAAATTAATAACGGCCATGATCCGGATATTCCGAAAATTTTCCGCAAGAAATCACCTCTCGGCTTGGTCGATTAATCTGTCCCACACGTTGTCAAGTGAAAGGTAATTGCTTATCTAGTTTGCTTGGCTTCTACGTATTTCTCGATCCTCTCGTCCCTCGTCACTACTTTCTCTCTCTCTCTCTAATACACACACATACACACACACACACACACATATATATATATTTGTTTATTGATTAAAGCTTAACGCGTCGTTACAGCAGGCTCTCCATTAGCCATACTTTCCTGTCGTGCGATTGCACATAATGCCGGGTTTACACAGCGGGGCAGGGCCGCCGTTGCTATCGGGCTTAATTGTACCAATTAACCGAGAATTTACAACGTTCGCGGCCAACCAAGTTTCGGCCGTTTAAGACTTTAAGATTGAAAAATCGCCCCCCCCCCCTCCCCGTCGACGATCCGTTTGATGAAATATTGCCGTTTCAGTTTAACGAGTTCCCTTCCTCTCGGTTTAAACGGTGTCTTTTTTTTGCAGTTTTTCGTTCGAACGAGACGTTGCAAGTGTCACATTGGGTTGAACCCTCTAAAAAAAGAAAAAAGAAAAAAAAATGCGCGGCAATTCGACGAATTAGTTTTAAAGGATCGCCAGAGACTATGAGTCTAAATCACAGCCGGCTAATTTTCTAATCGCTAGCGTTGCCCCCTCCATTCCATCGATCTCCCCACTATAATGAATTTTTTTTGCTTGGTAGGGAAATCAACAGACTGAGAGAGTGGGGCTCATGCACGGGGCGAGGAAATTTCAATGTAGTGGAGGGGGTAGCGCTAGCGATCAAGAAAGTAGGGAGACAAAGGCCGCCAGTTCGCCGCCTCTGCTCTGAGTTATAAAGTAACTAAGCGTCGACTGGTTGAAAAGAAAATGATTCGCGTAGAGATCTCGTCAATGATTTTTTTTTTAACGACTAACAAAGGAACATACCAAAGTGTTTATTACGGATTTTGATGGAATTTGGCATAAATGTAGTTTTTAAAAAAATATTTGACCCGTATTTTTTAATCGGTGATCGTCGATGTTGAAGAGGTGAAAACTACTCTCGATGTTGGAGATGTGGAACATATTTTGTCAAATATCTCAGAAATTATTGAAGATACCGTTTTTGTGTACATTTTGCAAAAAAAACACACCTTTTGTTTAAACAACATATTAAAAAAACAACCGTATTTTTCATATGTGTTTCCAACGACGCGCTTCTCACGTGTCGAGAGAGGTTGGAATTCATTTTTATGATGTCCGATACTGAAGAAAGGCAAAGTTACGGAAAGTTTGGGATATTTTCCTTCATTTTATTCGTGTCGAGTCGAATAGAGTTGGAATTTATTTTAGATTTCGAACGAGCCAGCGAATGAGCAAACAATGGACTGCCAGGTACTGAAAAGGCAAAGCCGAAAGTTGTGGCAGCTAGCCAATGAGCTGGTTCCCTTTTAGATTAACTGCCATAATGATGCTTGACGGTTGACGACTGTTGGTCGTCGTTCGCGTTTAATTATAGTGATGTCCTCGTTATACGCAGCTATACTTACATGAAAAGAAATAATTTACAATGACAGCGGAAGTGGA